ACACCATTCGATAAATGAGTTATGAGAGATATATTAATTCTTGCACGTTTAGATTTTAACACCCATCTGTATAGTGTATAGTGGGTTGTGAATGTCAGTTGTAGACTTTTGCATGCTTAATTGTCGGAGTGAACTTAAGGGCACGGCAAGTTTGGCTGGGAGGCGTGCCTTTGTATCTGGTAGATCCACTTTGATCGAACACTTGGTGTTCAGAATTTAGAGTCCACATCGACACAAAATTTAATCGTTAAGAGACGCTACTTTCGTTCGACACCAAAAAAAACATTAAAAGAAGAATTCAAAGAAGCTAAGTGAAATGAGATTGGCTTTATACCTTTTTAAAGATCGAAAATGCACAGAATAATCGCACACCCGCTGACCCAAGATTTTATATCGAAAACCGTTGAACTATCACCCAAAAAAATCCTTCACCCTCTTCAATCGATCCATAAGAAAACGTAGCCAAAGATCCTTAAAAAATCAATCGATCCAGATTGGATACTAATTTGTTGTAACAATGAAAGCTCACGAATGAATTGAAGAAAAAATTTAGAAGAAACTTCAATATGATTGGCCAACGAATCATCTTTATTGCTTCTTTATGTAAACGTACAGAATTCTAATGTCTGAAACCGGAACATGGAGATATTAATGCGTTCTGTATATTGGCGGTATCTTGCCGATCAGAATCGTGTCCGGGCGTTACCGCCGGTAGCTTCCTCAACCCGCTTTCCACTATGCCGCACGACTCCCTCCACCCTATTAGCTTCTCCTTTCAAAACTTGTAGGTGGAGTTACTTTATAAAATCAGATCCCAAGTGAGCCTTCTAGGTTGCTCTTCTGCTGGTGACCTGAATATTAACAACAAAACAAAATCATATAAACGGTTTCAAAGAACATTGCCTTTTTGTGATCAGTATCCATAATTTTCGTGATATCCGATGTAATGTAGCCTAATAGATAGAAATTGGCATCGTCAAATTGAATCAATAATCTAAAGATTCTCCAAAAGTTTTAAATTCATATTTAATTTTTCCAAGTTTGTTGATTTGGTTATTGATTGGTTTTATGGATTCTTTGATTTCAATTTTGAAGAAATCAAATTTCATACAACAAAAATTTTTATAAACTCAGGTGTAATCATTTTAGAGTTTTGGTTGATATTGATTTTAGAATTAAATGCATGAGAAATATTTAATGGATATCTAATTGAGGAGAAGATGATAAACAATGTGAAGAGAATGCAAATAGTTATTTTACTTAGACTTTAAATATAATTTTTAAATTCACTACAAGAATATCGATCTTTAGTGGCGACGGGCGTTGCCGCTAAAGGTCGAAAATGTTGCTGCTAAAGGTATTCGCCACTAAAGGGTCACCGTTGTTGGTTCGTCGCTAATGCTCCATTGGTCGCCGCTATTGCCTTTTGTCGCCGCTAAATGTGTGTCGTTACTAATGCTCTCCGTCGCCACTAAAGGTGTCGCCGTTATTTATAGGTATTTCTATACATACAGATACACATATACATACAAAAACACATACATAATATACATATACATACAAATGTACGTACAAAAACACAAATGCATACATAAAATACATTCAAAATACAAATACAGATACAAATAAATATCCACAACTAAAAACACAAAATAAACATACAAATACACATCTACAAAATCAAAATCTCGGCGAAAACAATGGTGGTGGCCAGTGGCGAATCTAGAACAGACTAGCACGTGGTTTCTAATTAAGTGAAGTCGAAAAAACTAAAAGTCAACAATACATGTGACGAATCGGATCGGGTTGAACCAGTAAAAACCACTCTACTTGACCTCTAAAACTGGATTTTTGAAAGAAAAAAAAAATGCACGAGTTGTGTTAATTTTTAAGTTTCATTATAACCATTCACCATCCATTCTATAACATCAAATAATTACATCTATTTCTTTTTATCTCCTATGTTGGATAAGTTTTGATATATATTAACCATGTGTTTTGTAAATTGAAATATAAACCTTCCGGTATTTCTTTTATTTATTTGTTTTCTTATCTTGTCAAATAATGTAAGGTAGGTCATACTCTTTTTTGAAGATGGTTCCTAAAACTTATTTAATATAATTACTATATAAAACTATAAAAAATAGGTGGGTAGAAAGAAAAATGGAAAACACAGAAGATCAGGAAAGAAAGTGAGGACGAAGAGGGATTGTCGACGCTCTTTAGCGGCGACGGGGCACTCTTTGGTGGCGACACACCGGAGGGAAAAGAACGTGGGGTTTCCTACGTCCTCCTAGTCGTTGGATCATCGCTTAAATTAACGAATGAGATTGAAATGACGTGGATCTCCAACATAAGCCTTTAGCGGCGACGGACAATTTTAGCGACAACAAAAAAACGTGTTTGTTTGTTGTTGCCGCTAAAAGTGTCTGTCGCCGCTGCCGCTATTACTGGTTGTCGAGTTTAGGGGACTTACTACCGCTAAAAGTCAAATCAGAGTAAGTCCCATATGGATTTATTGGTAAGATATTTGTAAATTGTGTTGGTTGCCATTATATTTCGAATTATCATCATATGTCTTTGGTTTATGTGACATTTCTTTAACTTTTTTTTGTAGGAATCAAAGGCCAAGCGCCCACCTACTCGCCTTGAACTGTTTGATAGAACACACCGTACTAAAAAAAACTAAAAGAAAGAACTTCAAACATCAACTACATTACATCCAAAGCTATGAATAGTGTTGGATTTTTTTTACTCTTTAAAAAGTAATCAATTAAAGTATGATGCTTTATATTTAATCTTAATTAGCACTAATGGGTTTATGATAAAATAGGATGCATATGCGGATGATATCACAATTAAATATAGAGATGATATTGCTAGCCATCCTCCATATGATCATGAACTTTGGGTTGAAGTTAATGGAGGTATTAAGAAAGGAAGAGTACTTGGATTTGGCTCTATGTCTAATACACTCAAGTTTATTTTTTTCCTAAAAGTATGTTGCTAGTATTAATTATTTATAGTTTATTTTTTTTCAAATTGAAAGTACGTTGCCTTTTATTGAGTATGTGGCTTGATGCTTAATCAGGTGTAAACTTAATTATTGTTGCTTTGTGGGTTTTTGTTGATTGTATTCGAGAGGAGATAAATGATGAGTTTAGGGCGGAACGTGTAGAAATTGAGGCACAAAAACAAGAAATTGTCAATATGGATAACAACATCCTAAAACTCACTCAAGGAAGTAACATATACCAACTAATTAGACTTTGGCACTTAATTTTTGTGATTTGGTTTCGATACTTTGAAGTCAATTTAGAATGACACTTGATTTTTGTGATGTTTTGATTCTTTAAAATCGAATATGAATCTTTATTTTGCTAGTTGAATGTTAATATTTTGAATTTGTAGTTGAATTTTATTTAGTTTAGTATAAAAATCAAATTTCATTTTGTAACATTTAAACAAATTATGCAGCTGTTATTAGTGTAAAAATCGAATTTCATTTTGTAAAATTCTAGTCAGCAAAATTATATATAAAAAAAAATTCATTAGCAATGGATTCAAACGGATTCCATGGGTTCCCTGAGCTAATCAGCGACCGATTACTGACGGACATTAGCAAGAAATTAACGACAGAATCCAAAGAATCATTGAGTAATTTGTGTTGTTGCAAATCCCTCGCTAAATCCGTCTTTTCAATGAGCAATCTCGTCGTTAATCCATCGCTATTGTTTTTAGTAGTGCTTTTTTATACAAAATTACCTAAATTAATGCCTTATAGTAAATAAAACCACTTAAGTATCATTATTTATCAATTCCTAAAGTTTATATGATTTGAAATAATTACAGAGAAAATTACAAATTTAGCCAAATACACTAATTACTTTGTGGAAAATAGCCAAAAAAACCAAAATTATATTTTTAGCCATTAAAATCGCAGATGGGTATAATCTATTTGCGATTTCGCCATGCCATCTGCGAACGTACAAGTGACTAAAGCACAGACGTGCTTTAGCTGCTTTAGCCACTTGTACGTTTGCAGGTGATTTTTTTTTCCGCTGTATATATACCCCCTTTTCCAGCCTAAAATCGCAGATGGACTATGTCCATCTGCGATTTCCTCTCTATTCACCTACGATTTTGTGATTTCTTTTTTTTATATATATATATTTTGACTATGAAATTGATATGGTTTGACCACGAAACAGCCTTATTATATATAAACTTTTTCAAAAAGTTATCATTTTTGTTGTTATTTCTTTGGAAAATTTGTTTAAAACCCTTCTAAAAGATGAATGAATATTTCTTAATCTAATTATTAGTTAAACCCGTCCCATCATTTATAATTAATCTCTAGTGAACTGTTAACTTTCTTGTTAATCTGGACTATTATTTTGTTTTGGTTTAATATGTTATAAATATGATAGCTAATAATAATTTATTAGCTTTTAACTGTAATTTGTAGAAAAAAGGGAAGGGAGTTGCATTCACTTTAAGTGGTATTGCCCGTAGTAGAAATAGAATGTACAATCTAATTAAACATGCATCAAGTAAAGTCCAAGTCCAACCAAGAGCTGCACAAAATAGAATAGAATTGTCGACTTATGTATAAGAGAGAGAGTTTCTCTAAAAAGATAGTGAAAAATGAAGAAAAAAAAACGTTTTTATACAAAATAGCTACGAAATCGCAGATGAAATGTACAATATCGCAGATGGAAATGCGAAATCGCAGATGAGCTTAATCCATCTGCGATTTTAAGGGCTAATTTTGCAATTTGGGTTTTTTTTTAGTTATTTTCCACAAAATAATCAGTTTATTTGGCTAAATTGCAATTTTCTCATAATTATATATAATCCTCTTTTTTATAGCATATGAAAATCATAGTAGAATTTATTTGATGCTTTTTAGTTTCAAGAAATATGATTTGAAATAGTTATTTATATTCCTCTTTTTATAGCATATGAAAATCATTGAATATATTTATGATTTAATTAAAATTCATTTTTAATTAACTTGAGTTCCGTTCCGTCTCTCATCTAAGGTTTGTCATAATCGCCGATCGATCTCCAAAAGAAAACCCTAAAGATGCTCTGCAGTCTTGAGAGATGAGTGCCGAGTTATAGGCTTATTGTTAATCGCTTTGATTAAGTTGATGAGTTTGGGGTTTGTGAGCTGCATTTTTCATTCTGTACGTAAATTTGTAATCGTTTAGTTTTGATCTATAATCGAAGCTGTGGTTTGTTTTACTATAATGTTTTCAAGGCTTGGTCGTTCAATCTCTCGATTGTCTCGCTCAAGGGTAAGTCTACTCTTCCCTAGCTATAAATTGCTCATGTTTTTCTTGTTTTCAGTATGTACATGGGTTTCTGAGTTTATTATTTTGATCAATCTTGTTCAATGGTTTGGTAGAATGTTTTGAGGGTTGAAAATGACGGAAGATCACTGCAGGTTTTAACGGATTCTTCAGCATATCAATCTCGAGATGATAAACTTGGGGTTTCGGTTTTGAGGCGTTATTTAGGTTCCCTAGCAGCTAACAATCAAAGAAATGGTTCTGGGTTAGGGTTATCATCGAAGCTGTATACATCGGATATGAACTACATTCTTCCAAACCCAAGAATTCGAAGGTTTTCCTCCAATCCGAATAAGAGTGAGATCGATTATTTTCTGTATGTTTAATTAATGTGTATAACAGCAGCAATGTGTGAAGCTTACTCACTAATAACTTTGTGTAAAGTGCAGAGGAATCAAGCAAATCACAGAAAAGAGGTTCCTTTCAATTCATTATCTGCGTCCCATTACTATTAGGATTTGGCTCGATGCTCTGTTCATGGCTCTTGTATAAGCTATTATGTAAAGAGGTTAGCAATATTTTATTACATTTAGATGCTTGATTTAATTGTTTGTCTCATTTTGCACCTCTGTGTTGTATTCATAATTTTACTACATATTCACTCGATGAGATTGTATAGTAATCATTGCATCTGTGGTATATATGGACACGGTTTGAGATATATATGCAGGTTGACAAGCTCTTGGTTATATGTCAAGTTCTTGGGGAAGAAAAGGATAGAGGAGAAAGGAATATGGACTTCGAGGCTGAAGAACAAAAGGAAGGATACTAATTGTACTTGGGGGCAGTTTGGGTATTTCAATATTAATGATATATAAATAGACTTAGTTTTGTTTGTAATTTGGAAATCAAACATTATTAAGCATTTTGTAGGAATGCGTTTGATTAGTATATGATAGTCTCTATTTCCTAATATGCATCCATTAAACAGCATTAAGGATTATTTTATTTCAAAAGGTCACGTAAGACATGCTAACAAACAAGAACAAATATGGGGTTCTAATACATGACTCTCATTTGATGAGATCATATTTAGAATATTTATAAGTTTATTATATTTTAATAACAACTATGTGTTGTATCGAAACACAATCAGATAAAGAGCAAAACCAATGAGACCAAAAATCGAATTATAATAATCAAACAAGTACGTAAAGATAATATGAACTCCAAACCCTTAAAGAGACCAAAATAGTTACCACAACACTCTTTAGTGATAAAAATTTATGTTTTTTTAGATGCATGCATGAATGGGAGATTGAGAATACACATAACTTTACTACCTGTGGTCAAATTGGAGGTTCACGGATGCTTAACGATATTTTATTTGATAGGGCCGGTTGAATCAACTTTAGATGGTCTTCACGAAGAATAAAGTATGCCGATGAATGGCTTTGTATCGGAAAAATAAGAATGCAAATTTACAACATTTTCTAACTAAATGGGTAGTTAATTTGTGATAATTTCGAAGAAAAGCTATTCATTGATATGGAAGAACAAAACATGGTCATTTTAATGAATAGCTTTTTCATCAAACCTTCAAAATTTAATTGTTTCCATTTCGTTATTCTCATGTCACTACTAGAGGTTTTCAATGAGTAAACAAATATCTAGCTGATTAATAGCATTTAGCGGTGTATTTACAATATATGAACCACGCAACACTAATGTAATTCTAATATCTATTTGTAGACACAAAGCAAGGGGATTTTCGACGATTAGTGACAAATGTTGCGTTGAAATCTTATCTCTTGCTAAGGGAGGAATGAGTGATTCCTTTCCAACCCACTCAACCTACTGTCATATCAGCTTTTCTATTTTTTTTTCTTCTATCTTTTTCAACCCACAACATATGAAAACTCTATATTTTCCAACCCACTTAACTCACTTTCCATATCATTCTTTTTTATTTAATTAAATTAGAAAATATAAATTAAAATATTTTTTTTTTGCTAATTGAGAAAAAATTCTAAAATAATATTAAAAATAACATTTAATATTCTTTTTTATTTAATTAAATTAGAAAATATAAATTAAAATAACATTTTTTTTAATTTTTTTTTTGCTAATTTAAAACAAAAAAAATTCTAAAATAATATTAAAAATAGTATTTAATTAAAAAACCACACTACAAATAAAAAAATACTTGATAATTATAAAACACGATAATTAAAAAAAAATACACTTAAAAAAAAGACAACATAATTTAAAACAATGATTGAAATTAACTAGTTATTATCTAGAGTTGGAATGTAGACATGTTCAATGTGATCAGTAAGATCGGATCGAAGTTGGTGGTGAGTTTCTATAGCGCAATTCATATATTATTTCTTGGTCATCAACTTCGTCGGTGGTGGTGGTGGTGGTGGGGGGGGGGGGGGGGGGGGGGGGGGGGTTCAGGCTGATACACATGAGATATCGCAGCACCATCATCTTTCAATATCATATTATGTAGTATAATACAAGCGTAAATTATATTTTTTGTTTTCTTCACCGTTATAGCTCGTGCAGTCATTTTTAATATGTCCCGACGTCCTTTAAGGACCCCAAAAGCACGTTCTACGCCATTTCTTGTTGATTCTTGTGCCACCTTGAACCGCATCTTTTTGTTGGTTACTGGATATGGATATGTCTTCACAAATACAACTCATTTTGTAGTATTCACCATTCAGATAAAATGAACAATCGGGTCCTGTTCCGTGATATTTCTCATCAAACAATGGTGATTGGTATAGGACGTTTAAATCATTGTTAGAACCGGCTATAATATAGAATGCATGCCAAAACCATAAATCTTGTGACGTCGCCGCTTCTAGTATCATTGATGGATATTGATGGTCACCCCTCATGTATTGGCCTCTCAATTCCGTTGGACAAGTCCTCCAATTCCATTGTGTGCAATCAGTGCTACTAAGCATTTCAGGGAATCCATGTCTAGCTTCATGTACTTCATACAAAAGTTTTCAAGAGCTTCACGAGAAGTTCTTTCTGACATATTCAGCCTTATACATCTGGAAAACACCGTAGCAAAAGTTTTCAAGAGCTTCACGAGAAGTTCTTTCTGACATATTCAGATACTCATCTAACGAGTCTGGGTTATAACCCTTCGCTAATTGACGTATTGTTGATGTGTAGTTTTGTAGCGCACTGAAACTTCTTTGATATGTTTCATCCAATTTTGTTTGAAAATAAGGATAATTCGTCTCCAGATCACCAACAAGTCGCATAAACAAACCTTTGCTCATACGAAACCTTCTGCGGAATTGCGTGTGACCATAGGTTGAATCATCTGCAAAATAATGTCGGATCGTAGTCGTTCAGCCTCTAAACGATCTCTGTGGATTGTGTTTCTCCTTTGAATGTTGCTTGAACTAGCATTATTATGAAGAAGAAGTTGTGCAGTACGAGACAATACAGGTAACAAATTATTGTTGATAAGTTCATCCTCAGATGATGAACTATCATCGTTAACTTCCATTACTATTTTCCAAATGTTTGGATTCATTTTGACAAAAGAGAAAAGATAGAGAGAAAATGAAACAAACATATATATATATATATATATATATATATATATATATATATATTGAAACAAGCATAACTATATATAGATAATGAAACAAGGATACATATAGAGAATCTTAATAAAAATAAAATTAAATTAAAATAAAAATAAAAATAAAAAACATAATAATAAAGAGAAAGATTCTCCAGTCAAATGATGTCGAGATTTTGAACTTCACGGGTTCTCCAACTCCCAACCATACTTAGTTGCAATTTGTCGTTTCCTTTCAAGCATCGTGCACAAAATACCCTCAGTCAAATGATCATACAGCCGAAGAAAATACTCCATATCTTGGTTCTCTATGTCCCGATCCAACAGTTGAGCTTTTCGTTCTTCATTAGCTTCAAGAATGCGTAATTTTTGAGTCTGGTACTGTTGTCTCTGTTCCGCCTCTGTTTCGGTTGCAGTCTTGATGCCGACAATTTGTTTAACGAGATCAAACATTTCATTTTCTGTTGATGATGTCGATGCCACTTTCTTTCCTTTTCTTTTTCTCTGAGGCGGTGAGTCTTCAACACTAAACGACTGTTGTTGTTGGGGGAGAATCCAAGAGGATATTGTGGATCAGATGATGATGTGTAGGCGTTGGATGAAGATGTTTTGGTTCATTTTGAAGAAGGAGGCGGGGAGTCTTAACCCGCTTTTGTAACAAATGCCCATTTCGCATTGTCTTTCAACCACTCCTAAGTTTATTGATGAGGAAAACCTTTCTGGTTAATAGTCCTCCGATATTCGCTTAGTGAAGATTGTAAAACATCAGCCTCAGATCTCCCGCTAGCAACACTGTTCATCTTACGGTTATAGATGTCATTGAAAGCATTACATTTCTTTTGGAGTTCTTTCCATTTTGAGTTTACTTGGTGTCATGACCGATCCGAACCTCCCATTTGAACACTAAGATGATCTAGAATCCTCTCCCAAAATGCATCGAACCTTTGTTGATTTCCACGTTGTTTATCTTTAGAAACATCGACATATGCCCAAGCCAAAGCCAACTCTTCGCGTTCCACCCAGTTCTTTCAATTCTGGCGGTGTGTATACTTGCGTTTTTTCTCAGCAACGGGTTGCAACTCCTCGCTGGTTTCTTCTTCGTTTCTTTCGGGAGTCGGGTCGTCACTAGAACTGTCAGATTCTTCATTCTTAGCATCACGGAACTAGAAATTCTCGGGTTGAGAAGATTGGAATTGGGTTTCTGAAACCCTTTGAGAAAACTAATTCCATGGATTATAACTCTGATTTTCTTCTGGACGCCTAAATGTGTTGTAAGATTATTGCACCAAGAAATATTGTTGTTTGTAGTTTTGGTTTTGTTGATAGTTTTGGTAGTTTTGGTATTGCTGATAGTTTGGATTTTGAAAATCTTGAGAAAAAAATGGAATATCTTGATTTGAACCGCCTTGTGTGGCTTTGCGTCTTTGGCTAGAACCAATTAGTTTAGCTTTGTCTCGAGAATCCATTGAATGTAACCGAAGGAATTAAATGAAATATAAAATTTTCCAGAATAAAAACACTACAAATCAATAAAATATGTATCCATCTTTATAAACATACTACATCTTTGTTTTACACACTTAAAACAAAAAAAGAAAAAATAAATAAATAAATAAGTACAAAAAAGGGACGTATCAATGAGTATGGTCAAAATCACATGAATTCAAAAGAATAAAGTAGATAGGAGAATCAACTCTCTTTGTTTGCATTGAATTGTACAGGTGCATTGAATTGTTTTTGAGAAATTAAATATCCTCGTACTTTTGTTACTACAAATTTTCCTACCCAATTAAATGATTACATGTGTCATTTTATTATACTTGGATATCATTAAATGAGCATTAAATGTAACACATGTTATCATTTAATTTGGTAGGAAGATTTTTAGGAACAAAAAGTAGAGGATATTTAATTTCTCATTGTTTTTTATTCTCATTTAATTGTATTTGTCATGGCATGCATGTTGTACCCCATTCATCGGGCTCATCAACCCAAATCAAAACAATAAAGTGACGAAACTGCTGAACCCACAGTGCTCAACTCCATTTCCCGGCGGTACCCCCAGTACCATTGTTGAAACCACATACGACTCTGTCATGCCTAATTGATCATTAAACGAAGACACTCAACGATGGGACACTGAATGAATCCATAAATGCATAAGTGCCCTTGTAGATCTGTCAATGAAAATAGCTTTCACTTGTCATCATAACCACCGTCAACACTCACCGTCGTAGATGTTGGTTTCTTCATCAAGATTCTCAAGATTTCTCCATCCTATGCCCTTGCCCTTGGTAATATACGATCGACTGATTGTGACATAGTTAAAAA